TTCAGCCAACTCTGTGAACCTCCTGACCATTGGTTTGGGAGGGGGCTGTGCACCATGGTATATTTTTCTTTGGGGAGCCAATAGTTGATAGCTAATGCTTCATTTAGAGAGGATCAAGAAATGGAAGAACTGAGTATGCTTCCTCAGACAAGCTTGTAGAAGCTTCTGAGCAACAGTGAATTCAGGAATATGGTTACTAAGAGGAAGAGATTCTGTTAGCCAGGTTACTGCAAAGCACTTTTGGGATAGCTTTCCTTTTTTGAAAACTATGCTTTATAAGGACTTCCACTGAGAAGTTCATCTGGCAGTCCTCTTCAGAAAGAAATTAGACATTCGTTCTAACACAGGGACAAAACAGGCAATAATACAAATTATAATTTTTCTAAAGTCAAGCAGTCAAATTTAAAAAAAGGTATCATTAAGGAATGTTACATTTTAAAATGATAGAGCAAAATTTAAAGACATAAACATTGGATACCTTAGCCCCTAATCCTTGCTTGTCATTATTTGCAACTTAAACTAACCTTGATTTTATTTCCAAACATGTGTAGTCTCTTACCTTTTAATTTACCCTGAGTATATGTTGACCTGTAGGGCCCTTCTGTAGCCAGCAAAAGCTTCTGGACCTTTCTCCCTTGTTTGGTGCTAAAAGGCCCTTTGACTTCTAGTGGATGGGAGTGTAGGGTAGTGCCCATGGGAGTGTAATCTGCAGTCTGAAGTTATTTGGTTTAATTAAAGGGCTCCCCTGGTTTGCCCTCTCCGCCTTCTGCTTGCCTAGGAGGGCATGCTGCTCCTCATTTGTCTGGACTGCACCTCACAAGGCAGAAGCACATGTCCATATTAACGACATGAAACATCACAGTCATTTTCCAAAAATGACTCGAAGGGAATCGTTTCCTCTCAACTAAAAAAAAGGAGAAAACAAAAAAAGGGTTTCCTTCCGAAAGTAATCCCCAGCCATTAGGTTAACTAATGCTTTTATTTTAAAGCAATGGCATTTTTCTCAGCTCCTGAAATTGTCTTCAGCTATTATAAACTGCTTTGACAAGAGAGTTTCAGAAAACAAGTTTTTTCAAAACTTGCATCTCTACTAGACAAATAATCTTTAAAAATGTAATTCAAACAGAAAACATTCATTTTTAAAAGATAGCTTTAAAGTACTTTCACCACATTTTCAAAGATAATTATTAGAGCATTCATCCTCAACTACAAGAATTTAAATTTTTAAAAAACAGTCTTCAAGTTTCTCCACATCCTACCTTCCCTAGGACCTGCTCATGAAGCAAGGTAGGTTTAGGTGGACAAAAGAAGAAATGTGTTGAGGTTATATTAAACATGATCAAAAAGAATTAATATTTTTCCACTGTCATGAAATATGTTAATATTTCATTCAAGATTAAATTCAGTTCCTACCTCCATTTTGGGATACAACTTTAGTGATTAATATATGAGGGAACTCAAAACTTTTATTTCCCATTTGTATTTTTTTTAAAGCATCATTTTAGAAATACCCTGGCAATGTAATTGATGTCCCATGGTGTCTCCTTTTTAAAAATGCACGATTCTGTGCTCTTTACAAAATATTTTAGTAGAGAAACAAAAAGGACTTAATTAGAAAGATCTTTATCTTAAGGTTCTCCCCCATGAAATTTCATATGCCATTTATTCAATCATTTATTCCTACACTGGACATTGAAATCCAATCAGGGAAACAGACATTTGATAAATTAGTAAAAATTGTTATAGTAGAACTGTAGTAGAACTTCCTTGATAGCTCAGTTGGTAAAGAATTTGCCTGCAATTTGGGAGACCTGGGTTTGATCCCTGGGTTGAGAAGATCCCCTGGAGGAGGGAAAGGCTACCCACTCCAGTATTCTGGCCTGGAGAATTTCCATTCACTTAATACATTTATTGAGCATTTTTCTACTATGTGCCAGGCAGTATTTTTAGTGACTAGATAAAGATCAGTAATAGAAGAGACAGATCTCTTTGTTCCTGGACATTGAAATCCAATCAGGGAAACAGACATTCAATAAATTAATAAAAATTGTTATAATAGAACTGTACTGTACAGGAGTGAATTCTAATGTAAACTATAGTAGTGTTAGTCGTTCAGTCGTGTCCGACCCTTTGTGACCCCATGAACTGTAGCCCGCCAGGCTCCTCTGTCCATGGGATTCTCCAGGCAAGAATACTGGAGTGGATTGCCATTCCCTAGACTTTACTTAATAATGTATCAAAAATTGGTTCATTAACTGTAACAAATTCTCTCACTGATGTCAGATACTAATAATAAAGGAAATTGTGAGTTATGTTTGCATACAGGAACTTTGTGATATCTGCACAAATCTTTCTGATTTTCCTAAAAAATAAAGTCTCAATAAAAAATTGTAAATATCCATAAAAGATAATTACTTTAAAGGAAATAAATAGGATCTAATAGAAAAATAGAGGGATGACATAATTTGGATTGGGGAGTAAGGAAAGACCTTTCTGGAGAAGTGTTGCTTAAGCCTAGAACTGGAGAATAAGTAGGAGCCAGCCAGGCAAAGAAGATACCATTTGAACTACCTTTGTAAGTATCATTCTGGTTTCTTTGCTGAGGATGGATTGGGTTTGGGGGGCAAGAGGACAAAGAAGGAGTCAAGCGAGTAGGCACTTAGAATGCATCACAGGTGTTGCTACCCACTCAAAGTCCTAGGAGAGCAGAGTAACAGTAGGATGTTTGTTTTTGCTCAGCTTGTGCAAGAAACTGTTAGGTTCTCTGTGAACTGGGTGCTAGGAAGTTTAAAGGAGACTGTCAATGGCAGCAAGCCGGTGTTCCCAGGTCTCAGTTCCTAAGATCTTTCCAGTAGCTCAGTGGGATTTTTAGAATGAGGAATGATCATGTGTATGTGTATTTGAGACCACAACCAGATGAAAATTATAAGGGGAGAAGGCTTTTAAGTACTAACTACCCAGCTGTAACAGCAAATTTTTATACAAGTATGTATGAGGTTTAATTTGCAATAGTTACCTTTCTTCCTGCTGCTGAATTGTTGGAATTTACTTTGGCTTTGTTTCTTCTAAGACTGCATATTTTTTAATTGTTGCTATATCAACCAAGAGGACACTTAAGAAAGGTTCATTTAAGCATGGCACTGTACATCAATATTGAACTGCTTGTATCAGGGTTTTTAGGGACAGTGAATTCCCAAGGAAAAAACTTCTACTGGGTAGAGGGAAATGTCGGTCGGTGATAGATTTCTATTGATTCTGGAACTGTTTTTAGTAGCATGAAAGCTTACATAGTTCAAAGTTTTATTTCCATTTAAAATTAAGCAGCTCTACAATTACATAATCCACTTTATCATTTGTAATTTTTACCTGCCTATGTATGTGCATTTGAGACTTGCAAGCTGTTATTTTTGTGCATTTCTTTTACAGTACAAAAATTGTATGTGATGGTTGTACATCATGTATAAAAAGATTCGATAACACTTTGAAAAATCTTTAGCAAATGAGCATACATTTCATAGCACTTAGCCAATAATGGTTAATATATCGATTTAACGCTCTATAGGCTTTTCTTTTCTCTTTTTTTTTAATTCCGGGAAACACACAAGTCAAGAATCTCCCATTTGAGCAGAACTGCTGTTTGTTTTAGGAAACAGAAATGCATCATCAGTGTAATTTTAAGTAGTTCAGTTATGAATATGGGATGAAGGGATAAAATGAAGTTTTCTACTCTGATGTCTCCATTAAGTAGCTCCCCTTTGTGTAAAATACTCCATGGCAAAGTTGCTTCTATTTAAAGTAGTGAGTTTGATCTTGGCTTTGATCTAAAGCTTTTGATCTTGAAAGAAGGATGGCGTAGCAATAAAGAGAGGGCAAGAGAGATTTTCTTTAGAGAAATGCGATAAAGTTAAAGGAATGGCCAAGATCAGCAAACGCGGGTGCGACCCGACTGTTCTCCCCAAGCACTGAACCCCCCAGGCTGGCTCAGCTGCTGAGGATGGAAAGAAAGCCTTTTGGGGGGTCGGCGGAAAAAAATGAGGGTATCGTACACTTTTATAAACCAAGTGGAAACTTTACCCCTTTTTTGAAAAGGTATTGTCCCCTTCTTAAATTCTACTAGTCGCTTTGTGGGGGAGGGGGGAGTCCAAAGGCCGGGCGAGTGCACCGCCGGCCGCGCTCAACGGGAGCGCATTAGCTTCCGCGACGCGCGGGCAGAGCTCGGAGTTTGCCTTTCACGCGCTCGCGGCTTCTCCCCCAGGAGGTCACCTGCCTGCTCCCCGGAGTCCGGAGGGGGCACTGAAAAACGTCAACTTAATGGTGTCTAATTCATTCCCAGAGGAAACTCCATTAGGAAAGTTCCTCTCCCTCCGCGAAGGCCATCTGAAGACTTGGGTTTCTGACCCGCAGAGCGAGTTCAGGCTGACCGCGGCGGTGAGGGCGCTTCTCCAGCTAAGCCCTTTCGCCGGCCGGCGGCGGGTAGCACTTCTGCTCCCACCGCGGCCGAGAAGCCTTCTCGCGGGTACCCCAGGTCCCGCATAGGTGGGGACTGGAAAGGTAAGCGCGCACGCCGGGGTCGACCAGCGCCAGGGAGGGCGCGGGCCCGCGCGCGGAGAAGAAAGATGTTTGCGAAGAGAACAATAACATAGCCGGCACGCCGGCGGGGGTGGGGGCGGAGGCGACCTGCGGGGAGGGTGGCGCGGCCGCCTATACCTTTAAGGCAGGCCCCGCCCCCGCCCAGCGCCCGCCCGCCGCCCGCGCCGCCGCCCGGGCCCCGCGCCGCCCGCCGCCCGCCCTGCGCCTTAGGTGTTGCGGGCCTCTAGCGCCCGCCGCTTTCCGCTGGGCCGGCGGGGCGGACGGCTCTGAGCGCGGGCTCCGCCGCCCGGCTCTCACCTTCACCTACTGCGGGCGAGGTAGGGGGTCAGCGCGCCGAGTTGGTGGGGCGCGGGGGAGGGAGGCTGGGGCGGCTCCCGAGATAAACTTGACTCTGTCCCCTTCCCCCGCAGCCGCTGCAGAGGGAGCGCCAGGCCCGGGCGGAGTGCGGGCTCGCGCAGCAAGTGAGCGCCGAGGTGAGTGCTGGCGACGCGGTCCACGCGCTCCCTTCCCTGCCTCCCCGGGCCGTGGGTCCCGCGTTGCATCTCTGGCGCGGAGCCCGGGATCGGCGGCGGCGGCGCGCGACAACGGTGGGTAAGATGGCCCTCGTCAGGGGGTTCTTGCGCCCACCGGTGCGGGGGCGACCAAGCGGGCTAGTGACGGAGGGAGCTGCCGGGGCGAAGGTCACGGCCTCGGCTCGCCGCAGACCCGAGGGCCCGCAGCGTTGAGGCGGCCTCTGGATGCCCTAAAGGTGCCGGTGGCTCCCCCAGGTGAAGCCGAGGAAGGCTGCGCCGTGAGGCCGTCGATCGTTTCCTCTCACGCTGAGGGGCGGCCCTGGGGACCTGTCGTCCTATGTTTAAAAATGCCTTGTGGTGTTTGAACTTCAGGTCGCGAAATGGGTCCGAGTGAACCGGAGACCCCGAAAACGGAAACGAAAGGACAGAGAAGAAGTGTTTGAGAAGGTAGGGTTCCCCGAAAGAGAGCACTGGATGGAGTTCTTGATCAGTCTCCCCATCTGCCACCCGAATACTTGGTCACAACAATAGGGTAGCATCTTTTTTTTTTTTTTTAAGTTTTAATTAAATTTGCAGTAAACCTTAGATTTACCCAGGTATAGTTATGTAGAAATACTGATTGATAATCCTAGTGATTATCAACGTACTTTGTTCTCAGGAAGTGAAAACGACCCAGGATGCAGATTTCTTTCATGCTCTTTAAATAGAGCGTCAGGACAAAAAGCCAGTTCCATTACATTATTACATTAGACCAGTAACATTTATTATGGTATACGGTATTATATTATTATGATATAATATCTCTAAAAACCAGGGAGTGCTGTGAATAAATGACCCACAGTATAAGGTTTCTCTGTTTGATCCTGGGAGAGACCACTCACACTCATTAATTTAGACTATAGAGTACTCTCAAAAATGGAGAGAGAAGATGAAAGAAGTGTATTATTTTTGAAACAGTGGAGGGATTTTGTTTACTTAAAGCAAATGAGAAATTTGTTTTTCTATATTTAGAATTTCAGTATGCTACTTTGCAGAAGTTTGGACTACCTGTTTTCTCCTGAAATTGTATTAAGTTAAAACTTGATTTGTCATTGTAGTTAATATTATGAAACAAGGTAAGTAGTCTGTTATTTCCTGAGTGCTTTTGTTGAAAACTCTTAAAAGTGAATGTTTTTACAAACATTGCAGCAGATAGGATTTTTGTTGCTTTTGCTTTAATTATTTTACTGTTTTTTGATTCTTGAAAGCACCAAGGGATTAAAATAGCAGTGTGTTGTTTTTCTGCTGCTAGAATGTATGATGAATCATTTCTGACTCTGAAGCCAAATTCTTGCTGATAGCATTGCTGCCAACTCCTGTGATGTGTTGCCTTAGTATGGGCATTGTAGCGTCCGAGAATGTGCACAAAGCAGATCATAATGAAGGTGATACCAAAGTTTCAGAGTGCATTTAAGGATACCGAGGGCAGCTTCTGCGGGAATTACAAAAAGAACTGGCCTAGGAGTGTGGTCATTTGTAAGGAGACATTCAGTGTGTGAATAGCCCTTCCCTTTTTAAACAAAGAGTCATACATGTCACTTCAGTTAAACAGTAATAGAAAAAGTGGTTGTTTTGAACTGGCTTGAATTCTGACTGTACCTTAGCATGCTTTGGTAGGTTGTGTTGGTTTAACTTTTCATGGTCTAGGTGTTTTTAAAAATGTTTGTGAGGTGATGGATGAATGAGATCATAAAATGTCCAAAGAAGGAAAAAGAACTACAAATTGGCTTGTTTAGTGGTTAAAAAAATATTTTTTAGCTATTTTTTTTTTAAACCCAAAGTAAGATTATCCAAGCGCACAATGTTTCATGCATAAAAGGAAGGGAAACCCTTTGTGGATTACCAGGTACCATCACTACCGAAATCTGAATTTGAAGTAACCATATCTGTGACACCCACTGTCACCCGTCTGTGACCTGACCACTGCCCTCTGAGTATGCGAAGGCTAGGGACTGAGGAGTTTGCCTTCCAAGAAAATTGGAATTCTTCACTGAGCCTTTCTCCTTGAGAGAGGCTATTGTGTTGGAGCTTATGGGGAGGACGTGCTTCTGACTTTTCTTAGAAATTGTGGGCAGTAGTTTTGAGGAGGACATGAAAATGAAGTGGGTTGAGACTGTCATGCCGAGCTTCCTTTCAAGGAATGAAGCTTAAAGCTGACTAGCTTTGAGGGTGGAGGTGGGGGGAGGGGGGCCAGGAGTGGGGGAGTTTAAGAATTGTGCAAGAAAGTATTAATTATCAATGTCTCCAGTCTTTCCTTCTGGTTGTGCACAGCAGCTCAGCCCTTTGCCCACTGTTTGGCCTCTGCTCTCTCTTGGAGAGAGTTTGGAGCTCACTGAGGCAAAGCATGTGATATTTTCAAGGACAGGGAGAAAGGGGGTGTGATTAGCCACCAAGGGCGTTAGAAGGAGTTCCGAAAGGCGCAGAAGCTGTCCAGCGGCTGGTAGCCGAGGTGTGTCCTCTGATCGCCTGAGTGTCTATTCCAAAATACAGATCAAATTCTGTGGTATTGAATATTCAAACCTAGGTCTTATGTTAACCTTTTGCTGGGATTTGAACCTGTTATTCATTGGAATCTAGGTGGTTAATTTAGCATGGAGTTGAACTGTGTTTTTACAGTGTTCACCATGCCACAGGTAGAAGCAATATTAGTCAGTTTTTTTTCATGCATTTACTGTTTTTCTATAACATTAGAATTTTTCTCCTTTTATTTTACGTGACCATAAAATGAGAAGGAGTTTTAGTTGTTTCTGTAGGTTGGACATTTAATATCTAGCTATCGCTTTTATTTGCCCACTTTGTCTTGGCCCCTTTCTCTCCCTCCTGCTGCCCTTTTCCTCCATCCCCTAAGTCTCTCTTTGCATCTTCAGGCCTCAGGCAGGATTCAGCCCCAGGAATGAAGGTGGGGGATGACTGGTCTGTATTTAACTATGCTAGGTCAGAGCATTTTTCCTCTTGATTTTTCCTGACTGGAGGAAAGCAGTCTTCTGGCCTGCCTGGGGAAGGGAAACAAAAAGCAGTGCAAGGCCAGAGTCTTAAAAATGGGCATTTGGCTGGAGTTAAACATTAAAGAATGTAATTTTATAGGAATAATTATTTTCCCTCCTTAAAACCTTGAAAGTGCTAAGTGGTGGGCATAACCTGGTATAGCTTGAAATATTAATTGAGGTTTGCAGTGAACTCAGAAGGAGAGGCAAAACAAACTTATCCCGTGCTCAACTGTGGGTTAAAATAACGAATAATGAAATAAAGTAAGCTGCTTGCGTGAGAGGTACCACTGCAGAAGTGATTTCAGATGCTCTCTTGGCCTGTACTGCTGTGTCGCGTCCTTCCCACCCACCCACCAGGTAGCTCTGCTGTGTTTCTGTGCCAGCTAACAGGTTTTCACTTCTTGTCTTTCTGAAAATGAGGCTTTTTTTGTCTGCATTTTCTCCTGTGTTCTCTGACATTTGTTTCCGTTTTCTTTTATCTTTATGTTTTAGCTCTTTTGTCCACTGGTGTAACTTAATTTCCTTACATTTTTGTTTGTTTATTTGTTTTCTTAATTTTCAGTTTAAAAACTCACCTCTCTTTTGCTTTTAGTCCTCAGGTATTTTTCTCCTTAACATTCTGATATTCTTCCTTTTTCACTATTTCAAGTTCCTTTTATTTAATTTGAGTGGTTTATGCAACAGAAAGGCAAGGGAATGTGAACAACTATACAAAGAACAGTTAGGATGAATGGATAAGCCTGCTCTGCAAAGGACTGGTTAAACAATGGTGATACCAACAGTGAATTGTACAGTGCATATTTTTTAAAATAATGTTAATGTATTTTATTCAGTTGACTATTGGTTTTGAAAGAACACACATTTTTTCCTGCTTTTATCTTTAATTCACAGATAAATGCCAATTATCCATTGTACTCAAAGATTGAGGACTAATATAAAGTTCTTATAAATATATATGTGTAAAATAATACAATGTTTTTGATACTTCTTTTATCAGTATTTCAAGGATTAGGATATACTGTAGAATAATAATTTATGAAATCATATATTCGTAGAAAATACCTGAATGATGTTAATGATTTTTCTTTTAGAGAAGGAAAATTCCAGTTTTCATATTTGAAGGAAGCATGCTTCCTACTTTATGCACATCTGATAACAGAGGGAACAAATTTTAAGATACTCGTTTCTGGTCATGATGTCAGAAGTATTCACTGGCATACTTTCGAAACATTGGAAATTCAACAATACTAAGCTTTGGTGTTATTATTAACAAGCACTCCTTCCTGTGAGTTTGTTTCCAAATAAGAGTCTTGGCGAGGGTGAGATTGGTCTCTGTTATGAGTAGTCATAAGAAGCACTAGGTACAAATGGTTTCCAACTAAAGCACCCTGTAAGGTTACCTTAATTCTTTTCTGCTAGAACCTGAAAAATAATAACCCTTGAGCATAATATTGTTTAAATTTTAGTGAAATTTTCCTTGAAATATCGAGTGAAACATGAAAGTCTAGGAAGATGGTTATGAAAATGGATTTATAATATTCAGTGGCCATTTTAGTGGGAGCCAAAAGTGATAAATTCAATTTTCTGAGTCTTTCAGAGAAAAATACTGGAACTATTTTGTTTGTGATACTAAATTCTGGACCATTTTCACTCTGCTTTTGTTTCACTTGTTCTTTCCATACGCTTGATTCTGAAGTCCTTGATAGACTTGATAATAATTCACAGAACATTTTTTAAATCCAACTTAGTTTAGGCATTTTGCCACTTTTATTGGTCCTTTTAAAATTTTACACATTCTAGGAGAATGTTTTTATTACAATTCTGATACTGAAATATTCAACATGATAAAGGTAGGTACAAATTTTAAACTAATAAAGTCCTTTACTGCTATTTGTCTTTTGTGACCAAGATCTGTTTTCTATTTGGTTTATGATTTCTGGAAAACAGTATTTAAGACTAATAAAAATTATCTGGTTCTTTCTTGGATCTGTAACAGCAGATGGCAACTGTGTTAGGCTTGACTCTGGAGCTCTTAGGATACAAAGCTTGGCAGAATGGGTGGCAGATGAATTTAGGGAGTGCCGAACCAAAGGGTCTTCTTTTCTTTATAGGAACTACTCACATTTAGCAAAATGGTAGGTGCGGCTGCCAGTCTTATGTAATTGAGGCAGCCTTCATGCTGAGTGGTTTCCCAGGCATTGGTGCCCTTTCCTTTTTTCAAAAAAGCTCTTGCCCTGTGAGAATTCATAACCAGTCTACATATATATAGCTGTAATCTCTTACAATAGCTTCATTGATACTTGATCTCGTAGAAAAGCTTTAAGGATTCGAATGAGTCACAGCTCTGGAGGCACCAGCCGCCCCTCCCTGACGCCCTCCCTATCAGTGAGTGCCTTTGTGTCCTGCGTGGCTCTGATTGTG